CTCATTTTCTTCCCTCTCTCCTTCCCTCCCTCCTTCCTTCTCTTCTTCCCTCTTTCTTTCCTCCCTCCTTCCCTGCTTTCTTCCCTCCCTTCTTCCCTCTCTTCTTCAGCCCCCATAGCCAGTCAGTGCCACATCTTGTGCTCTTACTGCCATCCCTTCCTTCTGTCCCTTCCTTTCATCTTCAGAGCCTCCACTCTAGTTCAGGCTCACCTGGACTATTGAGGTAGTCTTCTGATTGGATTCCCTTTCTCTATGTCCCTGGGTCCTCTGCTGTCCAACCCAGCCTTCGCATAGCTGCTGAGGTGATAGTCCTCAGATGCAGATCTGACCATGTTACCATCCTTCCCCTTCAGAAATTTTCAGGGGAGACCTTCTGCTTCTCCGATAAAATAGAAACTCGGCAGTCTGGTATCTGAGGGCCTCTGCAAACTAGCTCTTCCCCATCTTTCCTGGCCTCACTTCGCGTTCTTCCCTTCTTGCACTCTGTTCCAGTCAGACTGGTCTTGGAGCTGTGCCCTCTGCCTGGCCTCCTACCCCTTGTACTCTGCACAAGCAGACCCCTATGTGTGGCATGTGGTGCCACCTCACCCCTGCCTGGGAGGTGTCTAGAGTCCTTGCAAGCCCAGCTCTGGCACTGCTTCCTACACCAAGCTATCCCCAAGCCCCCTGATTGTCAGTGGACTTGCCCTCTTAAAATGACTTTGTGTCTACTTTATATTGACCTAACTGTGTATGTCTCCAAGTAGAATGTGACTTTGGGGAATATGGCGTCCTAGACTGAGATCAAAAAGGGATGTTCAACCCTACATTTTTGAGGGGGGAGACTGAGGTCCTCAGAGGTTAAATTACCCAAGATTGGTGGCCAAACTCAAATAGAGACTGAGCATATGCACATTGGCTTAGAAAACAACAAATGGACATTATCTATGTCATATTGTATTTTTATTTATTTTGTTAAACATTTCCTAATTATGATGATGAATCTGGTTCAGGCTATCCTGGAAGGGCCACATGCAGCCAACAATGTTGATGTCATTGCCCAAGATCACAGAAATAGTAAGTGGCAGAGCCGGGGTTTGAACCCAGACTCTAGGTAGGCTCCTGACATCCCCCATGTTGTGTTAGGGGATCCAATCTATCACAGACATTTCTTCTTAGTATGCCAAGCCGTTCATTACTAGGGAAATGGTTTTCTAGTGTGCATTTTCCCTTACCACTGAAGAGTCTGAGTCTGCTTTGGTCTGGACTTGGTTTGTATGCCTTTCTGAGCAGCTTCTAGAGGATTCTCAATTGCTGTCTCTGTCTGTACTTCTTCTGTTAGTGTTGCCAAGCCAGAAACAGAACTAGAAGGGAAGATGAGTCAAGGCATTCTGAGAAATCGGAACCATAGTAATCAGTAACCATTGAGTTCTCCCGAGATGGAGCTCGCTCCCTCCCAGGGGAGTCCCTTCTGCTGCAGATAACTCCGCTTGCTTTTCCTTCCCTCCAGCCTACAGGGACAAAGAGGCAAATGTAGTAAGCATGGGGCTTAGCACATAGTAAATGCTTAATGAAGAAATGAAGTAATCGATAAGATTGATCGATAACGCCGTTGGGAGGCAGCAGTCCAGGCTAAAAAGGTAATGGGAGCTTCTGAAAGTTTTGGCCATGGACGTGGAGGATATGTCTTGTTTCTCTGGGGAAAGGGTTCTGTTTTCAGAGCAGTGCCTTAGGGATGACTGGAGAAGGGAGAGGCCAGAGGCAGCCCGGCCACTCAAGGGGACTCTTCAGAGTTGTCCAGATAAGGGGTGACACGGGCTCCAATTAATGTGGTGGCAAAGGGAGTAGGAATAAGGAGAGATGTTTGAGGAAAGACTAGACATGTCAGAGGCTTCCGGCCGATTGGGAGAATCACAGTGTGATAATTTGAAGTAAAGGAGTTAGGAAAGGGGACAGGTTTCTTGGGAGGGGAAGGGAGAATGGATGGTGAGGTGAATTTGGAGTGTGAGGTGCAGGTGGGACATCTCCGTGAAACTCTAGCAGGCATTTGGAAATGTGAGGACGGATTGTGGGGAGGAGGTCAGGAAATGGATTGGAGAGTCATCCACATAGAATTGATTGTTGAATTCTAAGAACTCAAACGAAGGCAAAATCTAGGGTGTTAATGAATGGACACTCACCTTTAAGGAGGATCTTGGAGGTTGGAGGAGAACCATAAGTGTGCCAAGGGGGGAAAGAGCCTCAGGAAGGAGGGGCTGGTGGGCAGAGTCTGACCGTGCCACAGAGCACTGGGAGAGGAGAAGTGCGGAGGCCCCTTATCTGAGGTGAGCTTATGAGTGGAGAAAGCACTTTGTAGCGGGAGTGTGGGAAGGCAGCCGGTGAGGGGCCAAGGAGAACAGGCAGGTACAGGGTGCCAGGAGGCAGCCGGCATGTACTCAGCGTTGTAAAAGTGTGTCAGGAAAGGGGAGGAGGAAGGGAATGGGGTGATCCTTGAGGGCCAGCAGACCCCGGGGAGCCTTTAATCTGTTTTATCCCCACTGTGTGCTGGGCAGTGTAAACAGAGGTGCTTAACAAATAACTTCCATCCTGGTAAAGGTTCAAGCCGCTCACAGTGAACTGTGCTTTACCATTCAGGGCTGGTGCTAAAGTATATTAAATGTTGTATTTCTTTCAACTTATTCATGGTTGCCAACATTTCCTGATAATTTATTGGGGTTTAATGCTTTTCAGCGTTCTCTCTGATCTCTGTTCTCTATCCTTTTCTTCATTAGTTCTCCCAGATATGGAATTTCAGAGGCTGAGCCCATGTGGGGGACCTTTTGATGAAGGGCAGTTGGCGGGAAAACAAGGAGTCCCAGTGGTCAAGTGTGAAGGCTGCATGAATGTTGATGGCGTGTCATAGACAAGGCTGGGAAGTTGGGGTCTGGCCCCGATGCTCTGTGGAACCGCGGGTCCTTCTGATGCCCCAGTGTGCCATGGCAGTGATTCGGAGTTATCAGAGGCTCTGCCAGGGAAAGGTGCACTCTGGGAGGACTTCTGACCTGCAGAAGCCTCGTTTAGGGGCCTGGCCAGGGATTATGGGTACAGGTGGGCTTGTACCTGAAGCGGGACTATCACACAGTGATTGGGTTTTGGCCTCACAGCTTAGGGAGACGTCTGGAAAAGCTGTGATGGGCATTGGCAGAGGCGGGGCTCACACCGGAACCCTTCTCCGTCTTTCATTGTGGTTTGGAGAAGTAAAAGTCATTGATCTCTTTGCTCATCTGTGAAGTGGGGGTTCATAATCACTGTCTCGCGGAGTTGTTGTCAGGAAAGGTCTTTCTAAATCTTACATCCCTAAAGAATTGTGAATGACAGCAAGGCAGTGTGGGGTACCTGTCAGAGGCCAGACAGACACACACACACACATACAGATATGTGGGCACATACAGACACATACACACAGACACACACACACAGATATGTGGGCACACACAGACACACACACACACATACAGATATGTGGGCACACACAGACACACACACATATGTGGGCACACACAGACACATACACAGACACACATACACAGACACACACACACACATACAGATATGTGGGCACACACACACACATACACACACACACATACACACATACAGATATGTGGGCACACACAGACACATACACACATGCAGACATACCCCCCTCCACACACAGACATATCCACATCCACGTAAACATAGACACAGACACACACAGCAGCCAGTCCTGTCCTCAGGGATTTTCCAGCATGGGAGGTCCTCCCTGTCACATTGAGGTGCCAGAATAAAACTTCAGTAGAAGGCTGCCTTTCCATATCTTGGACATCAGTGAACCCCAGGGGGTCCCTGAGCTCTTTGCTGGGGGTCTGTGAGGTCAAAACTATTTCATCATAATACTAACATATTTTCATTTCTGATATGATAAATTGATAGACATGAGGCACATACGAGCTCTCGGGGGGGGGGGGTGCCGCAGTAATTTTAAAGAGTGTAAAGTCGTCTTTGGCCAAAGAAGAGAGTCGCTATTGTCCGTGCTCACATTCTTGTGATGGTGATCCCAGATATGGATGTAGATGGAACTGCCTGTCCATATTCTCAGCGAGAACATTCTTGTCATGGGAAGTGTCTAATCCTAGTGCCCCAATGGCAAAAGATTGTCCAGAGACTTTTGTTTATTTGTATTAATTGACAAGGATTTATTTTCTCTCCCTCCCACCTCATCCCCTTCCCCTCTCCCCAGTGGAAAAAGAAAATGCTTTGAACGAATCTGAACATTCAAACAAAATATTCCCTTATTGACCACAAATGAAGAATTCTCATTCTGATAGTTTAGTCTGTGTATCTTTCAAGAGGTGAGTCTTCATCTCTGGCTCTCCACAGTCAAGGCTGGCCATTTCATTGATCAGCGTTCTGGAGTCTTACCAGGTTGTTCCTTTTTACGGTGTTCTAGTATAAATTGGCCTCTTGGTTCTGCTTGCCTCACTCTGCCTCGGTTCATCTGAGTCTTCCCTAAAGACCTCCGAAGAAGATTTCAAAGAAACCCTCCCCTCCTTCATGTCTTACAGCACACTCACATACCATAATTTGTTAGCCATTTCCCAGCTGTGGGCTCCCTGCCCGCAGTCTCCAATTGTATGCAGCCATAAAAAAGAGCAACTATAAATAGTTTTGTACACTGAAATGCTCTTTGCCTCAATTTCCTCAGCTGTAAAATGGGGATAATAACAGCATCTGCCAACCAGCAGGGTTGTTGTGAGGATCAAATGATATAATATTTATAAAAAGTGTTCGGCACAGTGCCTGGCCCCTACTAGGTGCTTAATCAATGCATATTCCCTCCCCGTGCCCTGCCCCTCCCCCCAGAGGGCCCTTTCCTCTTTGGTCATTGTGGATGTACAGGTCTAGTTGTGGTATCACTGGGTCAGAGCACATGCAGTTCAGTAACTTTTGGGGGGCATGGTTATCCAGAATCATTTACTAATAGTGTTTATTCGTTTCAGGAGAGAGCCGGAGGTGTGCTGTGTTGAATCAAACAAGGCCTCATCCTTGACTGATATGAACCAGCGTGACGTTATAACTCCTAATTCGGGTTGGTTCTGAATAGCGATTTTGTCTGTTGTCAGTAATCCTGCATACTGGGGAACATGTTTCTAGGTTAACTCTATGCCCTCGTTACATCGGTGAGTACAACAAATTATTGACCTCCATGGGAGTCTTTAAGACATATTCCTGAAACATAAATGAAGGCTATTTATCTAAAAACCCTCCAGCCTGATCTTTGGAGAATTTATCGGGTTTCTTTTTTTTTGGCCAGGCAATTGGGGTTAAGTGACTTGTCCAGGGTCACACATCTAGTAAGTGTCAAGTATATGAGGCTTGATTTGAGCTCAGGTCCTCCTGACTCCAGGGCCGGTGTGCTACCCACTGCGCCACCAGGCTGCCCCGAATTTATTGTTAACAGCAGATATTTGCCACATGGTGGTGGTTGTTTTTCTTGCTTTCAGAGGACCAAAATGGCATCACTCTGTCAGGGTCAAGGTGCAGTGTATCTGACTGTGACCGATCAGACCAGTGTGAGCTTGGAAGGCTCATAGCGTTTCCCTGACAGGCAGTACAGAAATTCATGCAAATTTGATACCTTCAGGAATCCAAAGGTTTAATAAAGTATAGCTCACAGAATTACAGAGTCTCTGAGTAGAGTGGGACCCACAAGGCCATTGAGTTCAAGCAGCACGTGAGTGAGATGCCCCTCTCTAACATTTCCAACATCTCCCCTTCAAGTGAAGAGCCCAGATTAGGGGGAACCCACTCCTTCCTTCAGAGTCAGCCCCTCCCACTCATGGAGAGCTCTCTTGGTGCTGGCAAGCCACAGTCTCTGGGCAGCGTCGCCCTTTCTCCTTAGTTGGGCCTTCTGAGGGCCAGCAGAATGAGGTGAAGCCCTCTCACCCATGACTGCCCTTCAAAGAATGGAAGACAGCTCTCCCATTGCCCCCGAGTTTTCTCTTCTCTAGACTAAACATCCTGCATTCAGTTTAATTAAATGTTAAGAAATATAATTGACATTTTAAAAAAAAATAGCCATAAAATAAATACTTTTGAAACCATTTCAAAAGAATTTTCTGCTTAGTATTAACCGTTGTCGCCAAACACAAACATTTCAGCTTAACCAAGAACAATAGAAAAGAAGATCATGTGTGGAACTGCACCTCTGTTACTTAGAGTTTGGAGTCAATTAAATGAGCATAATAGTAACAGAATTGCCCTGTTGGTGTCCCCTTATGAACTTTTTTGTGTTATTCTGTGCACTTTAAAAATGTTTCATTGATGTGCTTCTTTCGTGTCTCACATGCTAGCCGTTACTCACCCCCGAGCCCCAAAGTAGAAGTCCTTCTTTGTAACGGATGAGTGTCCCACACGCTGGCCACATCTGGAAATGGATGTCTCGTTCTGTGCCTCTAGTGCATCTGTCTGCTCAGAAGTGGACAGTGTTCTTCGATGTCAGTCTTTTGAAGTAACCAATGCTTGTTATCAGTCAGTTAGTAAAGCATCGGAGGCTGAGGGTGCCCAGAAAGGCTTCTTGTAGGTGAGATTTTAGGTGGGACTTGAAAGAAGCCAGGCAGTGGAGGTGAAGAGAGGGAGACTGCTGAACATGGGGTAGCGAAATGTGCCCGGTTGGGAGGTGGAAGAGCGGCAGGGAGGTCAGTGTCACTGGCTTGCAAAGTGGAGTGAGAAGGTTGGACAGTGGGAGGGGGCCAGCTTGTGAAAGGCTTGGAAGGGCTAGCAGAGGGTCTTGCAGGTGAAAAGCAGCCCCTGGAGTGTATTGAGTGGGGGGTGCTATAGTGATGCCTGTCTTTTAGGAAGCTCAGTTTGACAACAGAGTGAATGGTGGATGGGGAAAGAGACTTGGCCAGGAATGAGCCAACAGCCTGTTCCAGGTGTTTATGTGAGAGGTGTCGGGGCCTGTGGCAGGTGGTGGCCGTGTTAGAGGAGAGAAGGGGGTGCAGAGGAGAGAGTTTTCGAAGGCGGAAGCGGCAGGACTTGACCACTCATTGAATCTCTGGGGCGAGAATGAGGACTCAGGGGTGGCATCTGGGCTTCCAGAGAAGTTCTGAGGAGGGCAGGCTTGGGCAAGGGGGAAGGAATGAGTTTCGATATCTATGGGCATTCAGTTTGAAATGTCAGATGGATTGAGCAGTGCCATGGAAACCTAGAAAGAAAAGAGTATGAAGGAGAAGAGAGGGGTCAACGGTGTCAAAGGCTGCAGAGAGGTCAAGAAGCATGAGGATGGAGAACAGGGCACTAGAGATTAATGGGCAAGATGGGGAAGTGGCAGGAAGGAGTACAGTGAAGCGCCTCCCCCCAAACAGAATGACACAAAACAAAAAACAACAGCTCCTCCACCCAGATCTAGAAAATGCGCCAGCTCGTATCCTGGTCAAGAAATGGAAGAAAAAAGTCACAGCCCAGGTCAGCATAGGGAGGTAGGTAGAAAAGCCTGTAGATGCAGGACGGAGAGTGTCCAGGAGCATGCAGAGCTTCTGGTGCTGGGAGAGGCTGTGCACTAGCGGCAGGATAGGTGAAGAGGAAATAAAATGATCTCTGTTTGCTGATGATATAACAGCATACTTGGAAAATCTTAGGGAACCAGCAGAGCTACTAGTGGAGGCAGTTAATAGCTTCAGCAAAGTTGCAGGCTGCAAAACAAACTCTCAAAAATTCACAACATGTTCAGTTCAAATCAGCAAACATTTCTTAAGCACTTACTCTGTGCCAGGTGCTGTGCTGAGTGCTGGGGGTACAAATAAGAAAAAGAGACAGTTCCTGCCCTCAAGGAGCTTAGAGTCTAAAGGAAGACAGCACGCCCAGGGACTTTGGAAAGGGGGAAGGTGAAGAGACACCAGTCCGTGGCTCAGGAGAATCTTGTTCTGTGGAGTGAAACTAGGTTGAGCTGCAGATGCAAAGTGGAAAAACAACTAATCCCAAGAAGGGAAATCTCATTATGAATGAATACAAAACGCATAAAATATCTGAGCATCAGCCTACCAAAGTACACAAAATAGAGTCCTGATACCTAAGCTAGGAAAGAGAAAACAGAGAAGGAGAGCTATGGGCCAATATCATTAGTGAATATTTACTCACACTTTTAAAATAAAATCCTGTCAAACAGACTATAGTTATTTATAACTTGTATAGATTAAATTTACACAATTCTCCTTTTTAAAAATTTTTTTTATTAATTTATTTTGATTTATCAACAATCACTTCCATAAGCTTTTGAGTTTTAAATTTTTCTCCCCCTCCCAAGATGGCACACAATCTGATACAGGCTCTACATATACATTCCTATTAAACATATTTTCACATTAGTCATGTTGTAAGGAAGAATTAGAACCAATAGAAGGAACCACAAGAAAGAGGAAACAAAACAAAACAGAAGACAATAAATAGCAAATAGTCTGCTTCGATCTGCATCCAGACTCCATAGTTCTTTCTCTGGATGTGGATAGCATTTTTCATCATGAAACTTTTAGAGATGTCTTAGATCCTTGAATTGCTAAGAAGGGTTGAGTCTATCAACATTAGTCATCGCACAGCGTGGCTGTTACAGTGTACAACGTTCTCTTGGTTCTGCTCACTTCACTCAGCATCAGACCATACAAGTCTTTCCAGGTTTTTCTGAAGTCAGCCTGTTCATCATTTCTTATAGCGTAATAGTATTCCATTACATTCATGTACCACAGCTTTCTCAGCCATTCCCCAGTGGATGGGCATCCCCTCCATGTCCAATTCTTTGCCACCACAAAAAGAGCTGCTGTACATATTTTTGTAGATGTGGGTCACAGTTCTCCTTTAAAAAAAAATAAAGAACAACTCAAGTAGCGGGAAGACTGTTCGGTTCTCGTGACTGGGCTGGGCTGGCACAGTCAGAAGGACAAAACCGTGAAGTTAATCCGCACTCTCAGTGCTGCACCTCTCACATCCTTTACTGCTTGGTTGATGTCCTCCCTTCTCAGAGAGGACCGAAACGACCTCACTGTGTTGGGGTCAAGTACAGTGTGTCTGACTGTGGCTGATCAGAAAAGGACAGTGTTACTGAAGTTTGAATTCCCGAGGGGATACTTTATAGAATTTGATGAAATACAGTAATTTACTTGGAAAAATAGAAGTTCTAGAATGTGGAAAAAAATGGTGAAAGGAAGTAGGGATGAACAGGAAAGAGCCCTTCAAGAACACCAGCTATATTAAAACAACAGTGATCAAAAACCATCTGGTATTGGTTAAAAAATATAGAGATCAATGGAACAGACTAAAGGGAGACTCAGAAACAATGGAACTCAGTAACTCCATGTTTGATAAAGTAGAAAACATAAATTACCTAGGGAAAAACTACCTTTTCGATTTAAACTGCTGGGAAAACTAGAAAGCTGTCTGGCAGAAATTAGGCTTAGACCAAGACCTTATACCACACTCCATAACACATTCTAGCTGAATATGTGACCTTAATATTAAAGATCATACTAAACTACAAAAAAAAAAAATTAGAAGGAAAGCAGATCACATGCCTGTCATAGTTATGGGTAGGAAATGTATCCTTTACCAAACAAGAGAAAGAGGTAATTACAAAAATATTCATAGCAGCTCTTTCTGTGGGGGCGGCAAAGATTTGGAAATTGAGGGGATGCCCATCAATTGGGGAATGGCTGAGCAAGTTGTGGTATATGAATGTAATGGAATAGTGTTGTGCAATAAGAAATGATGAACAGGCTGACTTCAGAAAAACCTGGAAAGACTTGTATGGACTGATGCTGAGTGAAGTGAGCAGAACCAAGAGAACATTGTGCACAGTAACAGCCATGTTGTGCAATGACTAATTTTGATAGACTTGGCTCTTCTCAGCAATGCAATGATCTAAGACATCTGCAAAGGCCTCGTGATGGCAAATGCTATCCACATCCAAAGAAAAAACCATGGAGTTTGAATGCAGATCGAAGCATACTATCTGCTATTTTTTTCTTCTGTTTTGTTTTGTTTTCTCTTTCTTGTGGTTCCTTCTATTGGTTCTAATTCTTCCTTACAACATGACTAATGTGAAAATATGTTTAATAGGAATGTATATGTAGAGCCTGTATCAGATTGTGCGCCATCTTGGGAGGGGGAGAAAAATTTAAAACTCAAAAGC